TTCTTCTTCTTCTTCTTCTTCTTCTTCTTCTTCTTCTTCTTCTTCTTCTTCTCCTCTCTCTTCTCCCCTTCCCCTGCTCAGAGCCAGCCATTGCTGTCCCAGCCCCGCCGTTCCTTCGGCACAGCTCTGGGTTTCTCTGTGCTGTAGCCCTGCACCCCCTGCCCTGCTGGAATGTCACTGCTGCAGAGTTCTCTGATATATCTGCTCCACCAGCCCAGGATTTCTGCTTGTCCCTGCCCTTCCAGCTCAGTGCTTCTCAGAGTCCTGCAGGGGCACTGGGACTGACTGCCCCAGGGTTGACTGCTTTGCTTCACAAATCTTCTCCTCTCTCCTTTTCCATCTCAGCTGAGAAGGCTGCCTTGGGGTCCCTGGTTCTGTTTGTTATTAATTCCATTGTTGTTGTTGTTGTTGTTTATTTTGCCTTGTTATACATACTAGTAAAGAACTGTTATTCCTATTCTCATATCTTTGCCTGAGAGCCTGTTAATTTCAAAGCTATAATAATTCAGAGGGAGGGGATTTACATTCTCCAGTCCAAGGGATGCTCCAGCCTTCCCTAGCAGATACCTGTCTTTCAAACCAAGACAGAAGGCTGGGAAACTCGTAGGGAACCAGGTACCTCATTCCTCTTTTTCTGCTCCACTTTCCCAAGAGTGTTCCTACTAAATTCCTTCTAATCCCTTGCCCACCTTGGCCCGTGTTTGATTCAAGCTTTTTCTCTTGCACAGTTGTTTGTTAACTATATGCATGTCCTTTTTGTCCTTTTCTTCTTATTCCCTTCTTCACTTTGGCACCAGTTTTTTGTTTTCCCCCTGATGCCAGGAGGAGATTCCCAGTTGAGTTTTACCCTTAGAAATCTCATGACTATCAGAAATTCTGTAGCTGTGGGAGAAGGATGACCACTTTCAGCTCCTGAAGTTCTACTGTATGCATGAGAATCTCAATATATCAATGGACATATATATGTATATATGAGAATATACAAGTTGAAATTTCTGTGGTCAATCAAGAACTGTAGGCAGTCTATTTTAAAATAAAATACTAAACCATAGAAAAGTATATGGAATGATTGTGCTTTTCAGCGTTCAGTGTTGGCAGTACACTGTTCTGCTTATATTTTCTGTGTGGAGTATTTTTGGGCAGCTCCTGGGTTCGTTAGAAATGTCTTTAACACACATGTAAAGAACAGATGCCAGCTCAGAGTAACCCCCTGTGGGAGCTGCCAGCATCCGTGGTGGCAATGTAAGAGGAGAGAGGAGCTGCCTGGATAAACAGATACTCTGTCAAGAACTCGAGGCACAGACAGGCTCTGGAGTGATGAATGTTTAACATTTCATCAGCTCCTACTCACAGAACGTGAACAGCTCGGAGTGTGCAGCCTGCACCCAAACTGCTGGGGTTTCTAACCTGGTTTTGTTGGCATGCAGTGACACACCAGACACACTGGGGTGCATTAAAGAAGGCACATGACACCTTGTTCAAATGTGTCACCATTATTAATGATGTCAGCGGATGTAATTGCCAAGTTACTTAATACACTTAGAGTGCCATTGAGCCATTCACCTTGGAACCAAATAACTCTTACTTCATCTCACAAACCTTAAAATGCAGCTCTGCCCCTCCAAAGTGATGCAGTAATCTTTATCAGGAGCATTATCCTCAAGTGACATCTCCATGTGCAACAACCTCCCAATCACTCCAGATCTGTAGTATTAGAGACATTTTACCTTAGAGATTAAAATCCCCAATTTCCTCAAGCCTATCCAACTTCAATTCAGCATTCCAATCTTACTTGGAGTTTTCTAACCATAATGATTAGTCCTTATATAACAATTTTAATAAAGGGAGCGCCAATTAAATAATAAAGAAAATTAATTCTATATATAAAGGTGGGAAACCTGAATCATTCATTGTTAGTTCTGTATCACAACCTGGTGACAGGTTCAGAAGAACCTCTGTATTTGTCCTGGGCTGCTGCTCTGTTCACTCATCACTGCTGGCATAGAGGAATAAAACTCTAAGTGAGAAGGCTGGGGAAGACAGATTTCTGTTTTAAGGCAGTTTGAAACATCTCACTAGTGAATGGAATTATGTCTTCCTGTCATTCACTGTGAAGCAGGCACTTCTGACATGGCGTCAAGAGCCCAGAAGAAATTTGTGGAAATCATGTCACTTTTAGCTCAGCAGTGGAGAAATCCACCCCTTAAGCACCTACCATCTTGTTCTCACTTCCGTAAGTTCACGAGTATGATGTAATTGTTCTGGATTCAAACTAGCAAAACAGAACAGAATTACATGATGACTGTGCCTTTTGAAGTGATAAATGATAATTTGAGGACAGAATCAGTGAAAACCATTCTTAGAGTCAGCCAATATCCAGAGGCATCAGGGTTACAGAATAAAGTTATATTTGTATAAGCAGCAGTGTTACCTTATATTTAAGGAAAATTTTATATTTTCCTCATAAAGAAAGAAGGCTAGTTGGGTTGGAAGCACATTAAGTTGTCATATACACACTGACTAGCATTTACTAATGATAAATTTTACAAGCTGAAGTTGTATTCAGGCTCACTTTCCTTTCCCCTCAGGTATTGTGATTTCCCCTTTCCACTTTTCTAAATCCATCCATTTAAACCTCCATTTTGTGGAGTCTGCTTCCTGCCACGTCTTCAGGATCCTTTCACTTATCTCAGAGCTCTTCCTGTGCCACGAGTTTGTAGTCCAGATCTGCAGACACCTGCGTGGGTTTGAGTGAGAAGACAAAAGCTGAAGGGGTCGATGGTGCCAGTGCAGGTGGGCACTGCAGTGCCACTGTGCCCTGTGGGCTCACCTGAGCCCAGTGTTGATGTTTCTCTTGAAAACAGTTGCTCAACATTCTTTGCCTTCCTGTGGGCTTCCCCAGCTTATGGTCTGCTCTTTTAACGCACAAAATCCCTCTTCCATTTCTTTTCACTTCTGTGTTGGTATTTTTTGTACTTCTCCCTAGAACAGATTTCCTGACTCAGCATCTGAGTGAGTATTTTAAGGTCCTAATTCCAGTGCTGGGTGCCCACGAGTGTGCCCAGACTGTTGGGACAGAGCCAGGCCCAGTGCCTGTGCCAGGGACCTGAGGGGGTCACAGCAGCCTGACAGGAACAAATTGAGGAGCTGGCCTGAGTAAGTCATTGTAGAACTCTCCTATGAAGACCTTTGCAGCAGTTTACATCCTTCTGTGGGTGATTTAGCTGGGATCAGCAACTCTTAAAGGTTTTATAGCTGACTGTCATGGAAACCTCCTGAAAAAGAAAATTAATACTTACAAGGCAGTACCACAACATGAAAGTTGCATAAAATGCTCTTATTGATTTTTTCCTTCCATATTCTTGATTGCATAATAGAAGAATCCCTATTTTTGTGTGCCATTGTCTTCATGAAAATCAGTATGTTCATAAAATGTAGCCTTGACAGAGAGCATTTCCTCACATCTAACAAAATCACAATGAAGAAGCCTTTTTCCTTGTCCCAGAGATGTCTTAAGACATTTTATAGCTGCAGATTGGGTGTCTCATTGTAGCCTCTCCATGGCTTTAGCAGGCTACAGGCAACTACTGGATCATTCCAGATAACTGAGGCTTAACAGATCAACTTCCTTCTCTAGAGTCTGCTATGTTCTGTCCCTAATATAACGACACTTTTAACTTTGTCCATTTCAAAAGTTTCTTTAAAGTTGCAAAATTGAATTCAGATTATCAATTATGTTATGTTATGTGATTTGTACCTTGTTTAGAAGCAGCACAAGAAGTTTTGTCCCAAGATGAGAATGTTCTCCATCTCATCTAAGCACTGATTGTGATTAATTACTGAACTGGTAAAAGCACCATTCCTTTTTTGCAGCTGGCAGGAGAGTTTCAGAAGAGAGACAGTGATGTTTCTCCCTGCTGAACGCAGATGTTAGAAGGGCAGGTCCCACCTGCACATGACTGTCCTGATGCTCAGAGCACCTTGTGGCTTTTGCTTCCTTGGGGCAGAGAATGAGAAAACACTGATGTTTTTTCCTGAATTTGATCCACGGTTTGTCTTTGTCTCTAAGTCCTGAGACTTCAGGACTTAGAGACTTCAGGAAAATCTGAGTTTTACATTTTCCTTCACCTGTGCTGCCTTAGCAAATAGGGGGAGCAGGAGCAGAGCAGGAGCAGCAAGGCTGGAGCAGGAGAACACAGATGCTTTCCCTGTCCTGCAGGAATTGCTTTGGCTGCTCTGTATCTTTAAGGGGCTGACCCTATCCCACGGGGAGCTGCTATAAAGGCAGGTAGGCAGCAGTGCCCTGCTCAGGGAGCTGGAGCCAAGCAGGGCAGCTCCCAAAATGACTGGCCACCACAGTTGGGGATATGGGCAGGCTGACGGTAGGTTATGGCATTTCCGTGCTGCATCTCTGTCTTCCCCCCACTCATTTTCTTTCTAGAGCTGTTGCCTGAGCCCTGCAGAGCTGCCTGCATTTTGATGTCTGCAAGAATCAAGTATATACAGCAGGTAATTAATTACTTTATTGATAATCAATAGCACCCAGAAAGTGGCACTAAAAGATGCACAAGTTTATATCTGCTGCCTTTCAGTGTTGCAATCAGCATTCCTAAACTGAGGGGAGCAGTTTGAATGCTTTGTGCTTTTTTCAGATTGCAGATATTATAGATGGGTCCCTTTCCAAAATGCTGTTATAAAAATGATTACCTGTGTCTCTCTCCAAAAGCAGTTCTGTTAGGTAAAGAAGATTTAGTAGGGAAGTAATACAGCTCCTGATTCTGTGCAGTTGCTGCAATGTGATATCTAGGCTTTCATAAAAGTGAATAAAATAAGCTATATGTTACGTATGTCTAGGACATCAATAAATTGTACAGATCAGTATCAGATCTCTTACAGAACAACTTATGCTTTCTGATTTGACAGTTTTTAATTTAGTCCTCCTCCTTTGCTTCCCACCTCCAAGGATGCGTGTCAGAGCGTGAGGGGGGGATGTGGAGCTCCTGAAGGATTGCACAGCAGTGCTGGATGGGAAGGGGGGATGTAGAGCTCCTCGAGGGTTGCACAATATTGTTTGTGCCTGTGTCCTTTACAGAGTATGGACGAGTGGCTGATGCTGGCCAATGAGACAATTGCATAACTTCCAGGAGTCTCTCTCCTTGCAGCAATTATTTTAGCTGCTGAGTGTCCAACAAGAGTCTTTTGCATAACCTTCAGGGGCCAGTCTCTTTCTTAATAGCAAATCCTGAACTTTCTGTGAGTCTGAAAGCAAGTTTGAATACCAAACTTAGGTTAGTGCTAGTAGGTAATGTTATTTATTTGTTCTTGAGGCTAGGAGTAATAGCCATGTATACTTCTATGTAGCTTGTGAGAGCCAAATGATATTGCCTTAGCTTGTGTAAGAGCATTTAATTCCTAAATCTACTTTACAGGCAGCCTGAGAAAAGGTATTATTTTATAAGCTTAGCTTTGCAGAAAGTGTCAAAGCCAAGTAACAGTGTAATAGATCACTGTTGTGTTATGTAAACTCAAGGAGGCTAAGTACCTGTGCTTGATTTTAAAAAAGCTTCCCCTTGTGAAAGTATGTGAGAATGCTACAATTAAAAATGTGCTTCATGAGAATTCCTAAGTACAATTGTTAATGTTATACTTCATGCACAGAAGCAGCAGAGAAATTTAATTGCTGCTTTCACTGCCATAGCATAGTAGAAAATGAGCCATAAGAAAAAGGAATTCTTTGATATGGATAAGCTTTTGTTATCTCAAATGGCTTAAGAATCTTCCAGCTCTGGCAGCTGAGTTCTGCTATTAAACTGGGCTTTCTCCCCTCTCTACTGAGGTCAGGCAGTCCCAAAATGTTAATTATAATCCTGTATCCTTCACTCAGGTTAGAGAGATACCATAAGGGGCATGAGTGAAGAATGGAGCTGTCTCAAAGACTTACTGCAGTCACAAAATTATTTTAAAAATAACTGCATAGTCAGTAGCTAAGAGATTGAGTCATCTGCATCTAATTTGAATTGCTGGAGCTTTTACACTCTGTTTCCCTGAGAGAATTAAATGCTGTTTCTTTGGGGAGTGTGTTTGTGCATGCAAGTGTTTATACCTGTACCCACCTTAGCAAGGTAACTGCAGCCTCTGCAGAGAGAGAGTGGCACAAGTGACTGGGGGTACAGCAGTCTGTTGATGTTCCATGATCTCCTCGGTGTATTCTGGACAAGATATTTGAATCCCCATCTTGTTGCAGCCTGCTTGTGCTAATAAAAACACACCAGCCTAGAATTTAAATGAATTTCTCACATTCCAAACACCAGAGTCACTCTTGCTGAGCAAGCTTTATTTCAAGCCTCCTGAAACCCCGTGATGACCATTCTGTGTGTGATGGGAAGGAAATAATGCTGCTCTCCTTTGTTTGCTGTTGAAGGCCCTTCGGAGTGGCACAAAGTTTACCCCATTGCCCAGGGGAGCCGCCAGTCCCCCATCGACATCGACTCTGCACGGGCAGTCTATGACCCCAGCCTGCAGCCTCTGCTCATCTCCTACGAGTCCTGCACCTCCCTCAGCATCGCCAACACTGGCCACTCTGTCATGGTGGAGTTTGAGGACTCTGATGACAGGACAGGTGAGACTAACACAGCCAGCTAACTCAGAACACTAGGGAAATAATTAAGTACATTCTGTATGGTGTAACTTCCATGATGTATAACTTCAGCTTAGAACAAGGCATGTGACTGGAGCTATTTATATTTTGTCTTCACTTTGAGCTTCTCTAGCAGTGCAATATCACAGATCAATAAGTGTTTCTTCATTAGGAAAAGCCCTTGCATCAGGAAAATGAGAAGTTTGATTGCAGTCCTTTTCTTTTAGATGAGAATAGAAGTTTGCTGGGCATCTCTCCAGCACTGCCAGACCACATCCAGCACTCAGAGCAGGGATGTAAGCTCCTCAGTGCCCTGGTTCATCATCACCCCAACCAAAGATGCCAACTCATGTAGGTGCCAGCTCTGGCTCAGTGCCCAGCTCCCACCCACAGGGAAGGGAAGAGGATAAGCAGAGCTGGGCCATGCAGCACAGTCATCATAATCATAATCACTGCACTAAGTTGTACCTGGACTGGTTACTGTCACCTTGCGTTTTCTTCTTTTCTCCCTGCCTTGTAGCACTTTGGTTTCTTCAGAAATTAGAAAATCTTCAGCTCATTCTAGTTTCTGAGCTGGTAGCAGCTGACTTTGGATGTTGGACTGTCTGCAGTTGTACCTCATTCTTGTCTCGGCCCTTGGCAGAGAATGTAAATTCTTTAAGTGATTGATTACTTCTTCTGTTAGGTCTGTTTCCATGGTAGACTGTGCTTTTACATCTGAGGGTAGGGGAAGAGCATTCAAATGGAGATAATTAAGTAGCTGATAAATGGGAAGAGTGCATTAAAACAACAAAACAAAAATAACTAGAACAATTTTTAAACCTATCAGCTGATTTCATCCTCCTTCTGAGTGTGCTGGTTCATACAAGCTAAATAGGATACCGATATTGAAAACAAATTACTTTTTCTGTCAAGTGGCTTGTCTGTCCTGGTAACCCTTTGAAATAAGGGATAAAGTTTAATATTCCAGATATTTTGTTTTAAAATTTCTCTTCTGGAATGAATTTAAGAACCTGCCCAATAGGGTGGTCAGGTTTTCAAGCATCTTATCTTTACTAAATTTGCAAAGAAGCCTGGGTGAGCATTTTCCATTTTTACTGCACAGATCTGTTCAGAATGTCACCCTATAAATAGAATTTGTAAAACTTCTCTGGAAATATTATCTTAGCTTGGTAACTACTTTAATGCAATTTTCAGCTGAACTGTATCTGTGTAACAGTGAACTTTATTCAGCTTTAGAAGTTTAAGAACATCTATTACTCTGCATTTAGAGATACAGATTCAGAGCAACTGCCAGGAATGAGACCCTTTCAACACTAAGAATGTCTTGTTTCAATAACAGTTTTTCAAGGAAGATGACTGCTAGGAGTAGAAAACGTGGTTTAAACTGCTTTTAGTTCTGTTGAAATAGATCTAGTGACTCAAAGGTCTGCATAAATGACACAACAGAATTTTGACAGTAATCCATAATAGCTAAATTTCTTAAAATATTTTGGACAGGTGATGCCATATTTTGCTAACTTTAGAAAAATGTACTAGGAGTATTTATATCCTTAATATTAAAATCTTTGCTTTGGCAAGGCCAGTTTCCTGCATGAAGGCCAGCTGGAAGCATGCATGTGTGGTAGCACTGTGCAAGCCCCAGCTTTTATTCTTGAAATAAAATGTTATAAACTGCACTGAGGATACAAGTTTTACAGATATTAAATGTAATGTTAATTTTCTTGACGTGAAACTCTGGCCAGGTTTTGATGTCTGTTGGGCAAAGTGTATTAGATTTGGTGGCATATAAAATTACAGGAATTACTGATGCTGTTGATAAAATATCTTCTATAAGTGCTATCTTAAACATTCGTCTGTACATAGGTGTCATTTCTAAATGATGTATGAAGTGTCTCTGTGGCATTCCCTTACCTTTAGAAGGCGACTTAAGGTCGAGTGGTGTCGTGTGAAGTACCAGCTATTATATTTCCTCTTTTATGGGATCAGGTATTTAAAGGAAATGGAATATAGATAACCTCCACTGGAAGTAAAGATACTGTAAGAAGGAAATACTTAGCTGAATTGTCTACCTGAGGTTCAGGGTATAAGGTTTCCTTGGAGCCTTCTCCTCTGCAGGTGAACAATGCCAGCTGTGCCAGCCTTTCCTCCCAGCAGAGCTGCTCCATGCTCTGCCCATCCTGGAGCCTCCTCTGGGCTCTCTCAGCAGCTCCAGCTCCTTGCTGTGCTGGCCCAGGGCTGGGGCAGCTCTGCAGGTGCTCAGGGTCACAATCCCCCCTGCCCTGCTGCCCACGCTGGCTCAGCCCAGGGCAGGGCGTTCAGGGCTGGGGCAGGGGCAGCTCTCACCCACAGCACCCCAAGGGCTGCTCCATCTGTTCCACTGGTATTTATTGTGTTTAACAGGAAAGGCATAACCATAAGGGTGGGTACCACATTTCATTTGTCAAATATACTCTTTCAAGAAAGCTACAAATTTTGTACAGGTAGCCACACAGTGTTTTTAATTTACATTTTCAAATGAATTTTGTTGCTCTCCATTAATAAATCCACCCCACTTAAATGCCTGGATAATGCATCTTTTTCATGCTGGCAACTGGGAAAGAATGCTGGCTTTGTGCCAGCAATGGTTAGTTTTACTAGCAGGAAGCTAAAAAGCCAGAATAAGCTTTCTTCTCCTTTTTTAATATTTTTTTGTTCTTCTGCCCAGCAATCAGTGGAGGGCCCTTTCAGAATCCATTCCGCCTAAAGCAGTTCCACTTCCATTGGGGGACCACACACAGCCAGGGATCAGAGCACACCATTGATGGAAAACCTTTTCCCTGTGAGGTAAGGACGCGTTTGCACAGATGGGATTATTGCATGCAAATGATGTTGTCACATGGCTTTGTCTGCAGTGGGGACAGGATTAGGATTCTGATTCCTTGCTCACCATGGGCAGGTCAGCCATCCCTGCCGTCCTCAGCTGGATGGGGAGAGGAAATAAAAGGAAAGGCTCATCAGCTGGGATAAGGGCAGGGAGAGCTCCCTCACCAGTTACTTACATAGAAAAAAAAAAATTTTGTTGCCCTTGTGTTCAGCCTTCTGATTGTTGACAGATAATTTCTTGCAGTTTCTCACACTCTGTTCTTGTAAACAATGAATGTTTTCTATTCCTCTTTGGAGGAAGAGACAATTGATGGACTGTTGATGGGACCTATGGTATTATCCTTACTGTCCAATCCATGATCACTGTTGGAATTCTATAAATAGACATGAAATGTAAATAAAGTGGTTCTTTTCCTACTTGATTCCTCAGAGTCACTGAGTGTGTCTTTCCTTTTGTGTCATTCAGTGACAAATATTAACAACCAAATCAGAGTAGGATAATGGCAAATAAAAACTAAATCTTAAACCACCTTCTCCTCACCCTTTCTTTCTTCCTGAGTTTAACTTTACTCCTAACTTATCCCAGGCTGTCTCTGCTGCTCCTTCCTCCTCAGGGGAAGGGCTCCTCACACTCCTCCTGTGCTCCAGTGTGGGGTCCCTCCCACAGGAGACAGTGAGCTCCATGAGCTGCTCCATCCTGGTCCTTCCCATGGGTGCAGTCAGTCCTTCAGGAGCTGCTCCAGCCTGGTCCCTTCCCATGGGTGCAGTCAGTCCTTCAGGAGCTGCTCCATCCTGATCCTTCCCATGGGTGCAGTCAGTCCTTCAGGAGCTGCTCCAGCCTGGTCCCTTCCTTGTGATGACAAGCTGGGGAAGCTTCTGGCAGTTTGTCCCAGAAGCCACCCCTGTATCCTCCCACTCCCAAAGCCTGGCCATGCCACCCCTGTGTGGGCTGTTACAGAAAACTTGCCTGGTTCCTGCCCACGCTCATGGACCTGTCCAAAAGATTGAACTTCACGTTTTCAGCAATGCCTTTGGCACAAAACTGTTCTGTTATGAACAACTGTTAGTGCTGTCAATGAGGAATCACGTTCATAACTTCTATCACTAACTTAAATCTTTGTTATTTTCTTTAAAGCTCCACTTAGTACATTGGAATGCCAGAAAATATGCAACATTTGGAGAGGCAGCAGCAGCTCCAGATGGCTTGGCAGTAGTTGGTGTTTTCTTGGAGGTAAGAATTGCAAAAATAGCATGTTTACATGATAAAAAGCATTATGCTGTAATGTGTTTGAGGACTATGCCACATATTTAAGTGCTTAAGGAAAACAGATGACTTACTGGAGGCATTAATGCATTGCAAATTGCTGATAAACTTTGGTAGGAATGTTCAGGTTTGGGTAAGAAAACAACACCTAATTAAAGCATAGTTGTAGTCTTTATTTAACCTGTCTATTCCATTCTTTTAGATTGGAAAAGAACATGCCAGTATGAACAGACTCACTGATGCTTTGTACATGGTAAAATTTAAAGTAAGTTCGAAGCTCTTTAAATTTGCTTCTGGGATATCCTTTAAAAATCATGCTCATGTACATCTTTGAGACAAAAATGAAAAATTACCCACCCACAGATCCTCCCATAACTAGAATATAACTGCAGTTGTAGTTTCTTTTTCCCCTCCAAAGTTCATATTATTTTCCTAATCTCAGATGTCTCACTAGGCTGTGCTGACCCCACTGGTTATCCAGAGGTTCTGCCTTTCCCAAAAAGTCTAAAATCAGCAGGTCCCTGACCCTTGAGACTCAGCAAATTAATCCTTTTCCATTGAGCCTTGGCTGGCACAAGTGGAAGCTGCCTGTTTGTCTTTGCTGCAGAGGTCTGTCAGGGATGCTCTCACTGAGATCCAGAGTTTGTTCCTGAGGTGTTTTCTGAGTGACTGAGACCCTTTTGGATGCTCCTACAGGCTGAAGAGTGTTGCTCTAGACTGTGGTACTTTAAGGCAGCACCTCTTTCCATCTCTATCAGTCTTTTGGTTGATGCTCCTCTATCAATCCATCATCCTCTAATTTTAGACATGAAGCTTTGATTTTTTTTTTTTAATTTTTTTTTAAAGCAAATATTTACCATAGCAGACAATGACTATAGGATTGAATTTTTCCTATTAAAATAGATGAGAAAGTAATGAGACAAGGAATTCTGCCATGATATTATCTATAGCTCACACTGAACACTATATACAGAACACTCTTGCTGCATTATTTTTGGGCCTGTTGTGACAAGAGGTGAATTTTGGTAGAGACAATGGTGCAAGACTTCAAAGTCCACTAAGCCAGCATTAGGCATCACACTTGCCATCTACTTTTGGCTAACAAGGCAGCCAAACCTTTATAGAGTTCTCCTTTCCCCTATTTTAATGTTACTTTAACATTTTCTTCTCTTTCAAAAAAGTTATTTTACCCATATTTAAAAGTAAAAGGATAAATTTCAACTCTGTTTTCTTTCCCCAGGGAACAAAAGCTCAATTTAGAGGCTTCAACCCTAAATGCCTCCTGCCCTTGAGTCTAGATTATTGGACATACCTCGGTTCTCTGACAACTCCACCCCTTAGTGAGAGTGTGACATGGATAGTGCTGAAAGAACCCATAAGTATCTCTGTGAAACAGGTACATTTCTGATTCTCCCTCAGTTCTTGTATCATTCAGTGCTGGATAAGCAGGCAAAGACTGCTTTGATTTGAAATGAGGCGAAGTTCAAAGTCTGTGAATATTCAGCCTCTTCAATCCCCAGGGCTTCCATCATTTTCTGTTAATACTCTCTAGGAGCTTTGCTTGAACCTGTTCCATTAACTGATTAAAAGATGCTGAATATTTCCTTTTTAAAAAAACATTCCTGTTGATTGCCCTCTTAAGCAGTGACTTGTTTCCCCTGAACTTCCAGCTGGAGAAATTCCGCATGCTGCTCTTCACGGGTGAGGAAGACCAGAGGATCCAAATGGCCAATAACTTCCGCCCCCCTCAGCCTCTGAAGGGGAGAATTGTTCGAGCTTCCTTCAAGGCCTGAAGAAAACTCATAATGGTCCTGAGATATCCAAGAGCTTCCATGTGTGAGATACCCTAAACAGAAACTCTGGTCTACAGACCACTTATGGAACACAGGACAGGCATTTCCATGAACCCTCTGCTTGGAGAGGAGCAATCTTCTGGCTTTCTATTTTATTTTAAGTGCTGATTCTGTGGAGAAATGGCATCTTTTTAACCAGCTCTATTAAATATAGTGATAGCTGAGTGAACTAGGTTGTTATCCAAGACCTGAAACTCTATACAATTAAAATTACATTAAAATCCAACTTGATATAAAATGGAAAATTGTTTAGTGATCTACTAGTGCTGATGGCCACAAATTCTTTTTTCATTTAATACATGAGGAAACAGTAATCAAGATTTGGACAAATTGGACTTTTTCCTTACTGATCTGTTGTTAGTTTGCTGAAATCTGATTTAAAGATGGCTTTCATTGTATTCTTGATGCCTGATGACAGTGTGTATGAGTAGCACTAGAAAAGAATTGTTTATTTGCCTGAAGTAGACCCTGGTATGAAAATTAAATATATATTTTAAATCTACTGTGCTAAGATGTGATCTTATGATGAGAAGTAACAATGTAATGCTGTGTTGAAAAGCAGAGCAGTTTACTGCAATGTTATTTAGGTATTTGTCCTTTCAGCCCATGCAGAACACAGGACCACAGGGCCCTGGGCAGGGTCAGTTTGGTTGAAGAGTTCCTCTCTAGTGATCCAGGTGTGTTTTGTGGTCCTCAGTTGCTCAGATTCTACCTCAGTGCTATGTTCTGCAATATGACCTCTTTCAGTGTCTGCCCTACAGAGAGAAGGTATTTTGTTACCCTTAGCATGGGTAGATCTTGTCTGCCCTGAGTGTGCACTGCTGCACAGACTCTCCCTGCCCCAGGGCTGCTCCCTGCACACACGAGGCTTCAGTGCTCCTCAGTCCTTTTACCTCTGCTAAAGTTGCTTTAGAACAGCCACGTGTTGGTTCTGCAGCTTAGTGACAAAATTCTGACTCTGGTACTCAATACTGTGATGTTCTCTGTGACTGCCCACAGTGGATTCCCAGCTCCTTTAGCTCTGGGCCTCATGTGGCCTGCTCTGTGTACTTCAGGAAAACATCCCTGATGTTTGATCACTTCCCAGCAGCTGAGATGGAGAAATCAAGATGTACAAGGCCAAGGAAGTGGGGAGAAGGAAGAACAGCAGCGGCTGTGGCTGCTCCCCTTTCTCCAGGGAAGAAAGACATGACATGTGGAGCACAATACAAGGAGTGAAAGACTGGAATTCTGCTCCTCAAATCCCAGTGGTTGCTCTGGTACACTGACCACAAACTGTTTCTCAGTTTCCTCTTCTGTAGAAAGAGGGTAACACTGACCTCTACCTCACAGGGCTGTTATGAGGGCTAATTCAGCATTGTTTTAGAAGGAAAATTCTTATCCAGCAGATGCTAAAGGCAGTGGAAAATCCTTACACAATGTAATGGGTTTCAGCTATTATGAATGTATTATGACATTACTTTGAATGTATTATATATTACTCTGCTAGTAATGCAAACTGGTATTGTAGAAACTCTATTTAATGTATCTTAATTTCTTTAACAAATAAAATAAATGAGACTTTAAAATCACATGTGCATATCTCCATCCTTTATTTTGAGAAGACCCACCTCTCCCTACTTACAGCATTCTTTTTCTTTGATTTTCATTAACAGACATTGTTTGATGTTTTCAATGGATACATCTCTTTTGGATCAAGGAATACTTTGATTGTTTATCTTCAGTTCTACAGAAATTCTCGTTAAGACACTGTGGAATGATCTAAGTACAGATAAGAGTTATCCCTCCCAAGATTGTGGGCATGTTTTTTAAATTCTAGAAATTATTTCTGACACCTCTTTTTAGTCTATATCACAGTTCTTACCATCTTCTAGGATTAACAGTTTCTATTTAAGCTTAGTCCTTTAAGTTCTAACATACTTGAATGACTTTTTGTCCAAAGTTAAATTATTATCATGAATCTTACGTCCCTGTTAAAATTTACATAAAGAGATGCATTCTAATATGTAAAAAGTCTTTCAAAAAATCTTACATTTTGATAGCCAAAAAAAAAAAATATTAGGGGCAAATTTAAAATACATTTCTGATTAAAATATAACCATTATTATTTGCCATATGTACCATAATCCAGCTGTCCCAGTACTGCTGCATTAATATTAGTACAAGTGTTCACAGCAGGTCAAGATCAGCATTTTCAGTTTTTTCCTCTCATTTTAGGCATAGGTGTAGGTTTCTGCTCTGTCTCGTACAGGAGGTAAAGAGGGCTTGTGCACTGAAATTTTGTCCAGTTTTCCCAGCTCCAACCCCTCAATCTAAAAAAAGTTTATTTATGCCCAGAATGTGTCTGTGCTGTGACTTTGCACATGGTGCTTAAGTTTCTTTGAGGGTGGTTTATTCGTGAACAACAGAAGGGAAAGGTTTAGCTTACATGGCTATTGTAAAAGCTCAGCCATTGCAAAGAGCTTTAAATGCTGCATCACCCCGAGGTGTTCAGTTCCAGGGAGAAACTGAACTGTACCTTCCTGCAGAAATAAATTTGATTTTGCTTACAGGGTTTTTTGGTTGTTTGGGTTTGGTTGTTTTGTTGGGTTTTTTTTTCCAGTTGTTGGATGGTAGAACATGATCTATTTTTCAGCACGGGAAAGTAAAATATAAAAGGAAGACGTTTAGGTTCTGATCATCCAATTAAAAAACACCAATATTGTATTGGATAAGCATCTATTTAATGCATTTCATTTATTATGAGATTGAACAATTCCAGAACATGACCTATCCTTATCTTTCACCAAATGGTTGTGTTGAAGGAAAAATGGGAGTTGGCTGTAATTATTCCAGCAAGAACTCACCTTCTCCTGGGATTGCAGCCATCCTGAGTGAGAGAACAGAGGCCTCGCATTTGGGACAGCGGCTGAACTTGCACAGTAAAGCTGGATTAAAAATGCCATCTAGTGGTTTTCCTTCCCTTTCTTGTCACAATGCTTCAAACAATTGTTAAGGCCAATTCAGTCAAAATGCAACAGATGAGAGAATTTAACTCTGACAATAATAAAATCGTAAAGATATGAGTGATTGTCACTGAAAGCCCCTTGCTGGCTCTGTATATGTAGTCATTGAAACTCCTTCCTCAGATAAAAATCAGTCTGACAAAAGAAACTCAAGAAACCAGTTACAATTTTTTGTTCCTCATTTCACTGCTGAGCAGAGATCCTCTGCTTGGTGAACTGCACACTCTCTTAACTTTAGCTTTTAAACTTTAATAGCTGTAGTTACAGTTCAACTTTGGGGTTTTTCCCCAATCTCTTGCAAGCAGAAAGATTTTTAGATATTTCCATCATACAATTGCTCTGATGTAGCAGCTTTATAATGATGTGTTTCATGATGAAGGTAAACTAATCCAAATACGAGAATTGGGGAAATGTTTTGTAAAGTGCCTCAATACCAGATGGTGCTTTTGGCAGAGTTCAAAGGTCAGAAGGATAGAAAAGGCAGCATTTCAGGAAAAAAAAACAGAGATTAGCCTGAAGAAAATGGAGTGTTATCTTATACCTCGGTGTAGCTGCTTTCCTCTCTGAATTCTGCCTGCAGAAGCAACCATTTAGTAACAGCACTGAGCATCAAAGCACTGTCTCTGCTCTGCCTCTGAACATTTCCTCACTTACCCTGAGGAAAACATAGCAGAGGATGGAACCTGACTGACTTGCACACAACTATGTCCAACTTGCACAGCTGTAAGGCAGGGAACTTCCACTCCTCTGATGTTCCATTTATGCTACTTCCTGCACTGCATTTGAAATTTAGTCAAATTTCAGCACCTTACTCCAGATTGTGAACAGCAAAATAGTAATGCAAATCATTTAATTTCATATCAACACGGTGGAATATTAAATACAGCAATTTAGGAGCCAGCTCTCCCTGTTTGTCTGCTGGAGGAGGAGAAGGTGGAAGGAGTAGAGAGAGGAAAGGAACAGAATCCCTTTTTTACACGTGAGCACTTCTTCCCAAGACACAAGACTTTCCTGGACTTGAAAACTGACCCCAAGAAATGGAAATTTACTTTTCCAGTGGTACAGAACCTTAATTAACATTTGTTTGTTTAACCTAAACCAATTTTTAAGCAACATCCAATAAAAATGATCCATGTGGCATTCAGATCCCATAACAGCAACTGGAAAGACCTTTGCACCAGTGCAATTACACTGATTTAAACTGGATCTTCAGATTAACCCCTGCAACTCCAGGCACTGCTGAGCCTCTGCTGCAAGAGGAGAGGCTAAATGAAGCTGGAGAGCTGGAATGGCACCTTTCCTATAATAGTTCATGGTGTTTATCTCTGTTCATCAATGTTTCTTGCAGGTTGCCTTCTTTCATAGGATTTGAGTGTTTGGTTTAGATTACTTAGGAAGCTCAGACTGGAAACAGCTGCAACCAAATCAGAAAATGCAGTTGCTCTAACAGACTTAGAGCCTCCTTTATTTCTCCATTTGTTTGTGGTTTTTGTTTGTTTATAATAAGAGATTTCTGCATCTGAGGTGCCAATTTGCCTTTTGTGAAAATCCGAAATGTTATCTACAGCAGATGAAATGTCTGTCATTATTCACAGGGCAAGACACAGCCAGCAAATGGGGGACATGCATAAAGGTGCCCAGCAGGAAGGTGTTTTGTGGGCTGGTACTGTTTCCTCTCCAAAAGCTGGTTCTTAGACTGTGGAGCTTTTTGTGCAAAAAGCACAAAACTCAGTCTGTGTTCACTGAGATGGGCCAGAGACACTGTTCTTTCAAAGGATCCACCTTCCTTTGCATGTTCACAAGTTTCCAAAGGGTTTGGATCTATTGCTGTTTTCTAATCTGTATCACTAGGCTGTCTCTTTATTGCAGAAAAACTTCTGAAAACTAGGAAACAACTTTTAGGAGTAGTTTACTACTTCTCTCTGGATTCTTTTT